GAAAAGTTACGTGACCTGATTTGAAAAAAATAAAAAAAAATAAAAAAATACTTACTTATCAGTTAAAAAAAATTTGTTAAAGAAAAATTTGAGGAGTTATAAGAATGCTTTTGTCTTTTTTTTTTCTTAAGCTTTCAATAGTTTGCGAAGAGAACTCCTATCGATATTTATGATCGGTCTGATCTTCCTTGAAGCTTTTATTCGGAGTACAGAAGCTTTAAAAATGATTGACCGTAGTCACGTTTCAAAGATACACGCGCTCGTTGAACGATCACGCGAATTTTTACAAACGACAAACATACTTAAATCGTCTGACACGTTTTCATGTATGCATGTATATATATATATATATATATGTGTGTGTGTGCATTTGCACGTGTGTAATACGCGATAGAGAAACGAGTACTAGTTTCGTTTTATCTGAAACTTTAATTTCTTTCGAAGTAACAACTTTTCGTGCATGTTAAGATACATGCAAATTCGTTTATTAACAATTCGTCGCATTTCTAACAGGAAGTTCGTTCGATATTACATGAAACGTATTCCGTAATAACTAATCGATAAAATTATCGTAAGTAATATTTTCTCTATAGAATAAAAAGAACATTCGTTATGTGAAAGAGAGTGTGTGATGTTTAAATCTTTGATATAAAACTTTACACGATGTATTAAGAAATGCAAGTATATACATTGAAAGGTTCCAAAATTATATAATTTAACGTAACTACGAACAACTTTTACATTCGTTTGACGGATATAGTTTTAAAAATAATTTATTCAACAATCAAATGAAATCTAATAAAGATATTTTGTTTGTATAAAATATGAATTTGCAGTGTAGTTGAAATTGAGAAGGTGATGGTTTGAAAATGTTTGATACCAATATCAAAAGATAAAAGAACCTTGTATACATCCTTTTACTTATCCACTAACTCGTTCGCTCCATCGAATCAGGAAAAATAAGGCCCGATGAAGATATCTATGATCAGTATTGGCAAACGATCTATCAGGATACTTCTTTTCGAGAGATGGAGGTAGAAGAAACCCCGAAAATGGTATCTAGGTCGAACCTGGGTTGCGTCTGGGTCGAACGAGTTCGCCTTCAGGACGAACGTTTTAGGTAGACATACATACGTAAGAATTAAATAAAAAATAACCATTAAATCGAATATATATATCTCATTATAAATTATTATATCCTTTTAATTTTTATCTAAGGAAGTTAACTAATAAGTAACGTTGAATTATTTAATATATTTTTTAATGCAATATCAATATTTTTTATCAAAATTAAAAATTGCTTTCATTGATATTTAATAGATTAGTATTTTTTTAAATGTTCTCCATAGATTTTGTTTTTATAAAAAAGAAAAACTGTTGTTTTCTTCCAAAGAGAATATAAAAAAAGTTAGCAGCGTTATGGAAAACATCTTTATCGGGTAAACTTTCTAACATACAGGCTTTGGGTAAGAAGCTGCCATTCGTAATTTATTACTTTCTATAAATAATCAAGCTAGGATGCATTAATATCACGACATGATTCTCCTATTTCTTACACTAAGAAACTTGATTTCGTCTTGATCGATTTACCTTCATGGTGTTACGAAACTATGAATTTACTACGAAAATAAAGATACAAAAAAAGAAGAAAAACCCATATATCCAAGTACATCTAAGATGATATTTTATACATGAAACCATTTTTTTGTTGACAAGAACGTGTGTGTATGTATTATATTTGTTTGTGTATGACAAAATATACTATTTCTTAGAAATATGAAATCGATTTATAGCTCGTATGATTCACGTGAGGCTAGTGAATAAATATTTTATTTATATAAACCGAAATCTATTAAAAATGAGCTACCTACCTGTGTAGCTAAATATAGTAACTCAAAACATGCTTAGAGATACACGTAAGTATGTTTATGTGTGTATATGTATACGTATAATATTTGTATATATTAAATAACACGTTTGAAATGAATTCCTTCTTGGAGTTTCGATCGATCCAGAAAAGGCCATCCATCTAAAGTGATTCTTCATCATTTGATACGAATTCAGCGAGCATGCGATATCAAATGATGCAAAAGGCGCGGTGTTATGTACGTAAGCATTTCGGATCAGTGGCGCGTAACTCTTTTAAAAAGCCAATGCTTATCGAACAGGAATGAAAATTTGCATTTAATTTTCACGATCGCCCAACAAGCAAAATAATCTCACGTATTTCTTTCGCGATATTTCATTGCTACGATATTAAGTAGAATTTTTTATTCACGCTGCGTTGATCCGGAAAAGAAAATAGAAAAAGAAAACAAAATTATAATCATTAGAGTAATCATCAATGTTATTAGTTTTATTATTAAACGATACGATAAGTGTGCCTATAATTATAAAAATGGTACTAGTCAAATGCTATATTTATTGTTTCGAGATATATAAAGGATTATTACGTTTGAATATTATAAATGAATTCCATATAATGTTGAAATAACAAGCACTATACGATGGGTTCATTTTCGACAATATTATAGACATTACAATACATTCATTTCATTGAAAATAATATTTGTAATGTAAAATATAAATAATTAAACTTATTTCTTTATTTTTGTTTTCTATCAAATTGTGATTTACATTACATTACTTTTATAATTATGGACACAAATAACGTTTTAACGCAATAAGAATAAAATACAAGTCGGGTAAGGGTCAACAAATATGACGTATGTACTTTAAGCGTTGATCTACAGGTAGGCATATTGCTTTTTAATACGAACTTACATATATAAGGAGTTTTCAACTTTCATGAATTACGAGTTCCTCATAAATATGTCAAAGATAAGGACGGACAAGCCATTGTCGAATGCGTCTCGGTCACGTTTAACGATTGCTCTTTACGAGCCCTATAAAAGCAAAACGTATTTCGATTTTCTGTCTTTTCCTCTCCTACCACTGACCCTTTCTTTCTACCCCATGCCGTGCAGCGAATCGATCTTTTTAATGTTGAACAAAGTTCTCTTTGGCAATCACATAAACACACTCACACATAGAGAGACACACCTACACTTATATATACATGTATATATTTTTGATCGATCTTATTATATCTAATAACGAATTAAATGTGAAGTAGAAGTTTGAATAATTCTTTTTCTTCAAATTTAATTAACAATAATCGAATTATAATGCATATCTATGCTTCTGTTTGTACGTAATATTATTTACATAAACATTTAATCCCTCAATATAATGCTCATAGGAAAGAATTATTTAAATCCAATTTGACCCTGAGAAACGATCTCTATATATATATTTCTCTTTTACGTAATTCACGTGTTGGTAGTATATAGTAGAAATGGTCGTGATACAAATTACTACTACCAGTCACAACATTTGACGCTTGATGTTTACCAAGAGAATTTATCGCTTGGCATTCTCCCGACGGAAAGTTTTTAATAAATCAATCGACTTTACGAATTGCAAAGAGCCTACACACGCGAGCTATTTAACGTTCTTCGCGAATTTATGAATGGAAATGAACAAAATTCTCCAAGATATTATATTTGATTAATTTCTTAGTACGTATGTATATTAATGAAAAGCGATTAAGATAATATGATTTAGAAATCATAATTTCCATGATATTTAAAAAAAAATATATATATATGTACTCGTAATTATAAAACAATAGAATAAATAAAAAAAGACGGACAAAATTTAATTCATATTAAAATAATGTAAATTTTTTCTAAAATAAATTATAAGACAAATTTTGTAGAATTTATTTTGAATTTTCAGTTCACTGTTATAATTACTGGTACATATGTATATATATATATATATATATATATATTATTTAAAAAAAAAATAAAATAATATATAAGTATTTTCGATGAGGAAAATGAAAAAATTAATTTTCTACAATTTGATATAAAAGAAAGAGCTTTAGAAAAGCGTGTAGAAAATAAGTGAATACAAAGTAACACAACTGCGTTGCAAACAAATCGATACTTTCTGCGGTTTACACTCAATTGGAATAAGAAAAAGCGCGAACCTCTCTGTTTTAATTCTTAAACGATATAAAATACATACTCGTATACACGATGTTGTGAAAAATTATTTCTGAAGAAAGTACAATAGAAAAATATTATAAATTTCGTTTTGATGCAGGATAAAAAATAATATTAACGAAATACAAAAATTAAATGAATTGAAAAAAAGGGGATATAAAAAAAAGAAAAAGAAAAGAAAAAAAAGAAACGAAGTAACAAATGCACTCGACGAAAAAAGATCTTTTCACCGTTGGTCTCCCGCAAGAAGCTCGTGTTTCGCCGAGCTTCAAAGTCGCGGCTGAACTATTTAATCCACGTGTTGCGAACGGCAATATCGTTCTGAACACCATAGGAATCTTCTTTATCGTCATTGCGACTTTGCTGCAGTCTCGTTGAGAATCTTCAAAACTCTTCGTGGCCAGATATTTCATACTATTTATTTTCAACTACCGTTGGTAAGGAAGGTTTCTATTTAGTACACGTTTACAGTTATTACGAAAATGCACCAAGATATCGGACGTTGGAAATCGTTGAAAGAACGTTTCTATTCGATTTTGAGAAAAATCCATTCAGATGGCGAGTATTTCTTAATTCAATGCGCATGCGCATTGAGATAAGCGCGAAAAATGTGTACAGTACAATTTATTGCATTTGTGTTTATTATTAACTAAGGAAAAAATTAATCAACCTTTTTCGGGACGTATAATCTTGTAAGTTAAATTATTTGAATTTTTCAAATATCTCTGTATAATTCATTTGGAATTATTTTTCTAAATTAAAAAATACGAGTTTCTTTTTTATTTACTATAAGTAAGAAAAAATAATTTCTTTGGTATTATTAAATGAACAAATTTGATTTTATAGAAAGATGAACACAAATCTTTTGAATAAGAAAAATATGAATTAAGAAATAAATCATATTAAATCTATAAATGATGATCCTACCTTGTTCAACGTTTCATGGCTCGTAAGGATGTGTTGAGTAGTGGAATCAGGATGAATAATACGTTCAATTGAATTTGGTCTCGGAACTCCATCCAATTGGGTTGTTTCCTTCACCTGTGGCGGTGACGGTGGTGGTGGTAATTGTTCCTCCACACCCCCAGTGTTGTATCGTGTCTTCTGCGAAAGAAAATGAATTCAACGATTAGATAAATAATAAATAAATAAATGAACTATTATATAAAATCGATTTATAGTTTGTGTTTTTAAATTGTTCATGGGAAAAAGCTTTAGAAAAATAAAAATCTATTTTCTTCGTCGATTTTCCATAGCTACGAATATAACGTTTGCAAAAGTAATACCCGTATAAATTTCCTCCTTTTTTTTTCTTTTTCTTTTTTATCTAAGAGTGCAAAAAATATCTGATATGGCGTGTAAACATTTTTACACGAAAGAGAATATAGACTCATCGATGTTACAATAGGTTCGTGACAAGGTTCGATCGATCGTTGGCTATCGTGCGACGTGTGATCGCATTAAAGTATTATATACAGAGGAACGAGTAAAATAACATTATCAGTGACCTTGCTTGTATACGTGATAAAAAATTCTTACAAAAAACTATATATATATACGTACAATGTTAAAACACTTTACGCGGATTAAATATGGATTAAAACTTACTGAAGTGTCTGAGATGGTAATCCGATTATATGAGAAAATCCTAATACAAAGTACGAGCCGATTGTTTGAGGTTTATACTCTACTTCGGTCGAAGAGCAACTGATCGTTGAAACGCGACTTGTAAACACATTGTTCGGCCGGGTGATATACATATGCGAGGAAAATATGTAAACATTAGTCGAATGATATCACCGTAATCATCAACAAATAAATTTAATGTTAATCGTATAGTATTTATATATCTATGGATCTGATTATTATTATTTTATATTCTCATTTTTTATTTTTATTATAAAAATATAATAAATATACATATATAGACACATATATAAAAATTTAATAAACATATAAAATATTTCTTATAGATATAATATTTGTATTGTAAGATATAAAAAGTGATTGGAATTTAAAACAAATTTCGTACTTTTGTAGGATGGCTAGCATTTTGATTAATTAGTAGTGGAATATTGACAGAAAAATCATTGTTACCATAACGATAAAGAAAATATGTAACTCGTTGTAGGATCGACGTTGACTAGTTGTAAATAATCTCGATATCTTCGATGCACTAGCTTAGACTTTAGAAGCGTTAATCTAGAGAAATCCCGGATTTCGTATCATTATCTTGCTTATGACAGGTTTCGGATCACGATGGAGAGAGAAAACATTGAAATAAAAGACGAAGTATATATTCGTCAAAAAAAATAGAACAAAGAGAATAGTGTTTTTTAAGGTATACGTGAAAGTTAGCACGTATCCTATAGTCAAACTTTTGTTCTTCCATTTTTCCCGTTTTTTTTATATCGAGAACGAGAAGGAAGTAATTATCGATCGATTGAAAAGACAAAAATGAAGAATATAAAACGAAATGAAAATATTCATTTTGATCGAACCATTGAGAACCGAATGAAGATTTTTTTATTATCGGTAGGGGAAAAATATGAAAAAATGTCTCGTTCAAATTGCGAAAGGAACTTACGTGATTCCAGGAACAGCAACCGCAGGAATCATCGCAGTAGAATTCATCGATATCACGATGAGCGACGTTCACGCGACGTTCGAGGGAATTTGCCAAAGGGTTTCTACGTTGTCTAGTTCTTCGTTGTTTTTTAACCCTGGCAGGAACCGCGTACATGTAATCACTAAATCGACGTCTCGAATGACGTACGATTGAAACCCAGTCGATCATGATTTTAACGCGTTCTTCAATTTTTTTCCCGATATACAGATAATATTTTCAATCCAATTGCCTAATGAGTAACGTCCAAATGTTTCTTACATTAAATAATGTAACACACTGTTGTTTATTTGAAAAACAACAAAATTATTTCAATATTTTATATTTAAACATAAGAAAATATAATATACCATTGATATTTTCTAATTGAAAATTTCGAATACTTTATATCTAAAATAATAAAATATATTGGAATATATTGAAATAAATAACGGTAAAAATATTTCAATATCTCGTATCTAATTAAAATGAATACTAATATTTTTTATATTAAAAAATTTCGTAGTTACATATATTGACGTAACTTATTGTCAATGTAAAAATCTTGTCAAAACTAATCTCATAAAGGAACAAATTTTTCACGAAAGGTTCAATCGTCAAAGGAAAAAAATTAAATAAAGAAATAAAGAAGAAGAAGAAGAAGAAAGGGATGAGAAAGAATTGATTTAGTAAGTAAGAAAAAAAAAAGAAAAAGAAAATGAAAAAGAAGAAAGAGGTCGTCGCATTTAACGAGGAATAGTTCGAGAAAATAAGTTGAAAGTAAAGGGAAAAGCTACTAAGTAGCCTTTTCGAAAGATAATAATATCGGCAAAAGAATTGTGAAGATACGTCACGAATGTAAACCCACTACTATTCCCTTCGGTGTTCTTTTTTATTCCGCAGACGTTATTCTGTGCGCCGAGTATCGAACGATATCTATTTTCTTAACTACGTCGAGTTATCGGGGCTGAGGAAAAACTATCACCTCCTATTCTTTCATCTTTTTCAAACGAGGATGGGTACGTACTATTACTACTACTATTACATTCGTCGCCCAGTTTCTTGGCACGCGGAAAAGTGGCAGAGCCGAACACAAAGGCAATGATAAAAAGAAACGAAGTGTCTTTTTTCTCCTATTTTTCTTTTTTTTTTTTTTTTTTTCATTTTTCCGCTATCTCTTTCCAACATCCACCTTATTTCTTTCTTTCTTTCTTTCTTTCGAATGTGGGTTAAATAGGAGCTCGAGAAATAGCTGACAATTATTATTTCGTTCTCCTTCGCGTACGTCCTCTAGATTTATTTCTACGTTCTCTTAAAAGGGTGAAAAGAAGAAAAAAAAGAAAAGAAAAAAAAAAGAGGAAAAATTGAAAAGAAGATAAAACAACGGTAACAAAAGTAACAACAACAAAAACAACAACAGCAGCAAATGGAAGAACAAAACGGTAAAATGAAAGAAGAGTTGCGCGTATGTGAGCGATATTTGTATTTTAACAACCCTAATGTTCTTTTGAATATATCGCGAACGTGTGTGTGTGTGAACGTGTACGCTACTGAGTGCTTTAATTTGTGGTAGATTTCAATGTAATTTTCATGGATTATATATATATATATACACACACCCACACCCACACACACGGTTGTTCTAAAAATATCGAACAACGCGTTGAACATGCACGTTATTATGTTTACACGGCGTCATCGAATACTCGAAGAAAATAGATTTGTTCTGTTGCTGTAACTTATTCCATCGCTATATACTTAACGTTCGATTATCATTATTTCATTCAAGAAATAAATTCAACTTTTCAACGGCAGATCTTTCGTTATTTTACTCCGTATATATAAAAAAAAAAGAAAAAAAAAAGAGAATATTTTTTCAAGATATTTTTCATTAATATTATTCAATCTAAACGACACGCGTCAATCAATTTAATCTCATATTTTATATCACTGCGGAACAAATTATTGGTTCACTCGTGCACACATGCACGCACCTCACGCACATATGCACACGTAAGAAAATCACGCACGTTATATGGGGTACACATCGTGACAAAAGTATTTGCAATGATAGAAAATTTATTTTCAATCTAATAAAGTGTTTAATCGTTTAGTGTTAATAAATAAATAAATAAAAAAAAAAAGAAAATCGCGAGAAATAAGAAGGATAGCGAACGTGGGTCGGGGTCGGGGTTAAGGTTGGGAGGGAAGGGGTTTAAAGAAAGTAATTAAAATATTATTGAAAGAAATAAATAAAGAGCGTACGAGTTTCTCTTTCGAAGGGATAGACGGCGTCGTCGGTACTACTGTGCCTCGAGAAAATACTCGACGCCGAAGTAGTCGACATTGGTGTCAGTGGCGTTTCGATGCTTCTACCAAAGCAATGCCGTCGCTACCATCGCGGTCTAATTCCAACACCTAATACCCTCCTTTGAAACGAGCTCCTTTTACTAAATCACGCCACCTTAATGAACCCCTCTACCGATCCTACAAAATCGAACCCCATTTTTCCCTATATTTCAATCTCTAAACATTTGTTTTCTTTTTTTTTATTACTTCTTTTTATATCGTCGATATTACTGCAATAATTAAAAATAAATTGTTATTATCTGTCTGTATATATATATATATTTTGTTAATTATATAAATAATAATTCATTATTTGTTTTAATATAGATGACAAATATCTTTCGTTAGAAGAACATCGTATCGAGATTAAATATTCATACTTTTTTTTTTTTTAATTATAAATATTAATCACTTATTTAAACTACTGATTCAATGTATAACATAAGCTAGCTACTTCGTTTATATTTTATTTACTATTTTATTTCAATAAAAATGTTACATTTTTTATAACGATTTTTCTAATTAACAAACGCCGGCCTATTAAAATATCCGTTTTGCAATTTTGAAATCGAAGAGATATATTTAAAAAGATTCATTCGAAGTCCGTTTAATTAAGTTTCGATTTAATGAGACGACTTGAAATACCGGATCGATCTTCGATAAAGTCATTGGAATATTCATGAATCTTTGTTAAGGGGGGTGAGGATTGGGAGGGGGTTGAATCTTCTCTATGATTATTCTTTCTACCAATGAGCAAGTTCACGTATAAATCCATACATTTGTATGGATGAAACTCGTTGGTTGACCGAGAAACTCGATGATTCGAATTGTTTGGATAAAAAGACACCATCAAAAGGTAATGCAGCAAAGGTCGGTACGTTAGGAATCGTACGTAATCGATGGAGTGTAGTAATCCGTGAATTTTGCAAGAATTTATCTCAACGTTGATAAAAGAATTCATAAAAAAAACGAACGCGCGAGAGGAATTTCGTTAAATAAAAGAAGTAACCGAAAAGAAAAGAAAAAAAAAACACATTGAAAAATGCACACAAAATCCTAATCCCAATCTTGCATTTGAACGCATGCGCAGCGGTGTAAAAAATGAATGCGGTGAAGTATAGAAGACACAGCGAAGAAGAAAATTGATTCTTTTCAAGAGGAAATTTCGAAAAAAACCTCAGAGAAAAAGTTCGAAAGAAGAAAGAAGAATAAAGAAGAAGAAGAAGAAGAAAAGCTCTTTAGAAGACAGCAAGTTAGTTAGAAGTGAGTGCTCGTGTGTGAGTCAGTTTTTAGTCACGTACACGACTTTTACGAACCTGATTCTCATCAATGGGACCTGGAACGTCAGGTCTGCTCGACCTGCGGCCGTAAATGTTCAACAGAGTCTGGGTCAACGGGCAGGCTGATGCAGGACCATCCTGAAACGATCAAATTGTTTCAAAAAAAAAAAACAAAAAGGAGAAACACACACGCACACACACACACAGAGATACAACAATAAAATTGAGCATCATCGATCGCGAAAGAATTTTCTCGCGAGTACTATAATTTTGTCGAGTTTTTTTTAAAATCGATTCGTTGAAATATGTTTCCCTTGACGTTGGCAAAAATAAAAAGGGAATAAAAATAGAAATAAATAAAAAAACGAGAAACACGTAGCAAAAAATAAAAACAAAAATTAACTAGAGAGAGAGAAAACGCAAAGGATTTTTTCCGACAGTAGTATAACCGTACGTATGCGCAGCAGCAGTAGTAGGGAGTGACCGACTGTGGTCGGACAGTGGCTGGTAGATGGATAGACGCCAGGTGACAGTAGTTACGGTCAGACTATGCCGATGAAAACGTGGGCGTAACGCAGCCAAAACCGTACGTACGTTCATAGAAAATAAATAATTATTCGGGGTACACGATGAAAATAATTAATCACCATCTCCCGTTCCTTTAACAAAGGTTTAGTAAACACGGGGAAAACCATTGGTTTACGCATTTCCACACAACGTATTGAGTTATAGAATTATTCAAGAGAGGAGGATAGGTCTGTGTGGACGATAGGGAAACGTTTAACGTGCTCCTACATTTGGACCATTGCCAACTATTAACAATCAGAATTCCACTTCGATTCGGAAACCAATTGCTAACAAACAATACGGTGCCAAAGGTATTCTCATCTTCCATCGTCATCCTGATAGTCGTCCTCGTCGTCGTCGTCGTCGTCGTCGTTGTTGTTGTCGTTGTCGTTTGAAAATATTTCGCGAATACGCATTCCGATTTATTTACTTCGAACTTCAGCCATCTAACCACCCTCTCCCCCTTCTGTCTCCACCCAGCACCGGTTCGAAAGCTATTTCTTATTTATCGAGACTTCTTAAATAAAATCCTGCACGAACTTTTCGAATAGATCGTGTAGTATTCAAAGTCGTCTTGTATTCCAACTTGAGTTCCTTCAATCTGATATTCCAAATACACGACGATGACATAACTTTATAGCTTTTCCCCTACCTTCACAGTATTTGTCTATCTACTATTTTCATATATCATATCAACGATGAAAATGGATTTATATCAAATGTATGTTATATAGTATACCTATAAGAAGACATTCCTTTTATCGCGTGAATTAACAAATTGAATTATACAAAAATCTAAATCAATTGGGAGATATTAAAGTAATTATATTTTTTTTTAAATCAAAAAATACAAATATTTATATACGATGTAAAATTTTCCTTTTCCTGCGGTGGATTAATAACTATCACTGCGAATACGAAAGTTGGAAAAAGTTTTTCTAGGAAATTACAAAATAACAGGAGTATTTTCTCTCTCTCTCTCTCTCTCTCTCTCTTTTCTATTTTACTAACGCAAGAGAAGAGAAATGCTTTAGCAACCATGATTTCGTACTAGCCGTCACCATTCCCGACGAGTTTTTAATGCAAATGCAAAGAAGAAAGGAGAGGCACAGATCGACTAGGTTGGTTGGATACGTTGAAACGCACCTGTGCATCGAAAGTTAATCATGAATAATTCCGTTTCGCTCGCTTAACGCGGACTGCGAACAAACGCGTGCAACTCGAGTCACCGAACGAGTAATTGACTTTGGATCCTGTGACTTTATTTACTAGCACGAAAGTTCGCTCTCGCAAGTCGACAACGAAAAACATTCTTTGTCCTTGTACAGAGAAAATATGATTAAAAGAATTCTATTTCATTCTCTTTTGACACGACCAATTTATCTGGGCAATTTAAAGAACAATTTTATATATATATATATATATATCTCTCTTTGAACAAATTTAATATTTAAAATAATTCATTTTTAATCTGCCAATTGAGATTATCGATTATTTGAACGGAACGAGAACGATTTAGGATATAAAATTAATTGAAAAAGAAAAAAAAATAGAATATCGATAATAGAGTTAAGTTTTATTTGGAATTAATAGTAGAGTTAATAAATCCAGTTATACGGATTAACAACACGGTGACACGTGTGTCATAGAAGAAGCAAATTTTCGATTCCCAGAAGTCTCGAGTTAACTTTACTAATTGCTCTTGCGTAAGAGAAAATGTTCCGCCCTAGTGTCACGAATTTTGCATTCTAGATCAAATTAATGCAACCTTGATGACAATTAGATGAGATAACTTGAGAGTTTGCTCGCAAAAGGTGCTGAGACCTCTTTCGTTTCATACAGAAATAGAGAAAGGAATAGAGAAAGGAATAGAGAGAGAGAGTGAGAGAGAGAGAGAGAGAGAGAGAGAGAGAGAGAGAGAAAATTATCTTTATCACCGTATATTATCCGACCTCATGGGTAATGAAAGAATAATATTCGGTGAGTTGATAAGAGGAGTAATGTGACTACTCTGCCATAATGAAAATTGTTGTTTGCACAATATATATATACATACCTAACATTGATGTTATCAAGTTTCGTATGAATTTTATATGTACGTTACCTTTACTATTTTTTTTTTTTTATTTTACACGTAGATTTGTATAAAAAAAAATTTCTCGAGCAGTTCGGTTAGTTACTTCGTTTATTACTTTCACCCAAACGAGACATTACCAGAGCTTACGAAGATAATAATGCTTTTCGGCTACGGTATAATATTACATAACAATAATATGCTAACAAATCTGACATTAGATAAAGTTTCATAAAATATATATGTATATATATTTTTTATTATTCAAGACCATAACTTTAACATATATAATGGATAATATAATTATATATATATATAATTTATTAAATATTATTTATATAAATAATTATATAAATATTTGATGATATATACAGAGTATTATATATTTAAATACTTCTCTCTTTCGAACGTTCAAGAGTATGATCGATCCCATCATTATTGATAATAACGCACTGCAATATACAATAATATATAACGAGATAATAATAAAATACAATAAAATAATAATATAAAACAAAAAGAAAAAGAATGGTCATTATATTCATTAGAAATGAATCAAAATTTATTTTAATCATCGTTTTTGTTAGTTTATCAGAAAGGAATAGAGGTATTTCGATCAGAGTGTGTTTCTTTTACTCTGCTATTCCTTATTTTCTGTTTCTTCGACTTGTCAAACGCAGTTTCGGAACTTGCGGGGAAAGAGAGAGAGAGAGAGAGAGAGAGAAACAGACAAACAGACAGACAGACAGAGAAAACAGGTACTTTCAGAAGATCGTGCATTGCGACTCCAGGGCACGTAGTCCATTCTCTCTAGAGGCGGTGAACGTATATATCCTGTTCGATAACTCGAAAACTCTGCCTGGGGGAACTAAGATTTTCAATGGCAATGGCAGAGATACATCTGACAAGAACACAGTTTGCTATCCTACGTAATATACGTCGGTAACTATTTCGACAATCAATTTAATTATTATAATTAACCTAATTATTCCAAATTATTAGAATTTTTTAAATCAATCTATTAATCTAAATTATTCTTAAGTATGGGGTTATACGAATACTATATAACATAATATGTTAATACAATTATTATATTCGTTTGGATGGAAGAGAATTTTTCTAAGAAAAAAAATATTTTCAAATCAGTTCAAGTTACAGTTGTAATTAATAAAAATAAAGAAAAACAAATGTTTCGAATAAAATGTAATAATATGAATCTCGTGTATCATATTCATATCGAAATATATAACGAGCTTTAATAATTGGTTGCATTAACATACAGTAATGAAAATATCGATTGTAAATGTGGATATACCAATAAATACAAATTTTATGTAACATGTTTTTTTTTTTGGACAATTATAATCAACAATTTTATATTATTAAAAAGGACATAACAAAAAAGATCAAATTTTTCGGCAAAATTTAAAATTACTGCAATTTTTCTTGCCCGAATAAAAAACCGAAGGATGTTTTTTTTTCCTTTTTCTTTTTTTTTTTTTTTATTACAAATCGAAGGCTTTGAAAAGTCAAATCGGGTTCTAAAACATTCTCTCTAGCTGGAGGAGATTTTTCAAGAGGGAAAGTAAAATGAGAAGGTTTACTCTTTACCCACTACTCCCTTACCCTTACGATACTCTTCGGATTCGTATCGAAAGGCGAATTGGAAAGGTTTTACGTTTGAAATGAGCACGTTTATGAGAGGTTCCATGGATACTTCCGTTCGTATATTCTTCTTACTATTTTTCCTCTTACTCTCTCTCTTTCTCCCTTTCTTTTTTTTTTTTTTTATTTCTTGTTCTATTTCTTTTCTCTTGTACGTGTTCGAATAACGCGGCATGTATAAGTGTGTACATAAATCCCTGACTTTAACATGAAATTCGTGTACGAAGAATTCAATTCCTTGCGAGCTTTAACACCAAGGATAATCCTCTTTCGTTTATATAAAGTTATTAGCTTAATCTCCAAGCTGAGAAAGAGAGAGAGAGAGAGAGAGAGAGAGAAAAGTTAAGCGAAGCCAGTTTAGAAATTGAATTAACGCGAATAGTGATAGTTGGAAAGTACTGGAAAAGTATGAAAGAACTTTTTCACGAAGATATCCGATTAAATAAACAGTATTGGAAATAAAGTATATGAAAGAAAATTTTAAATCCGATCAAACTGCAACAAATCCATGGTAAAAATATTATTATTATTAATAATAATATTTTGATATATAAGAAAGCAAGTTTTCGACTAATTACATTTTCTGTGATCTTCGGAATAGAATTTTGAATAGTTTATTGGTCTCCAATGCTCATTATTGGTCACTGATTTTCCTTATTGGCCTCTCGAGCCTCCTTATTGGCCCTCATGAGCCTCCCTATTTGTTACCGATCTTCCTTATTGGTCACCCCGCGAGCCTCGTTTTTTATTTATTTATTTATAATATTTTTTACGGAAACAAAACAGATTTAAGAGAGAAAATGTAGTTTTCTGATTCGTTCGAACGTATATA